AATGTCGAAATTTTAATAGAATCTTGCGAGATATTAAAAAAAAAAGTACTCGAAAAGGTGTTGATTCTCAGTTTTTCTCAATAATATCTACATTATTTATTTAATCTTAAAAATAAACCAAAATGTATGTTATTAAAGTGAAAAATTAACTAGAATTATACATTTTGTTTATAATATCATCAAATGAATGATTATTATTTGCTGTTAAGATGATGTTTAATAACTTCGACAAAATTTTCTGCTGACGTTATAACACCGGCACGATATATGTATTTTTTTTAAAGTTTTTTATTTGATAGAAATATGTATTAAAATTAATTGAGCACGATCAACAAGTTGTTCGATTAGCTGATACTTTTTTACGTTCATTTCTTGTTGCTGTTCCATTTGATGGTTTATCAATGTTACTTCAAAAATATATAGCATCAAACGAAAAAACATGGCCTTTATTAATAATTAATTTACTTGGTAATGGTGTTAATGTAATTTTAAATTATCTTTTCTTATATAAATTTCACTGGGATATGCGTTCCGTACCTATATCAATTACTATTTCATATGCTATAATTGCAGTATGTGCATTTTTTTATATTCGATTTTCATCAATTTATAAGGAAACATGGTATCCAATAAATCGAGCATGTTTAAATGAATGGAAAACATATTTAAAATTATCAGCACCAGGTATATTAATGATTATGTACGTAAAGATTTATTATAGATTTTAATTGATTTAAAGTTTTCTTTATTTTTTTTTTTTATAGGACAGAATTTTGGTCAATTGAATTAAGTATATATTTTGCTGCTTATCTTAGTATTCGTTCATTATCAGCCCAAGTATGTGCTTATCAAACAGCATGGTTATTTTATTTAGTAACATCATCATTTGCTACAGCAGCTAATATACGTATTGGTCAATTTTTAGGTAGTGGAAAACCTATGGAAGCAGCTAATACAAAAAATGTTACATATACAGTTGGTGCCATTATTATTTTAATTAATATATGTTTAATTACACTTTTTCATTATTGGTTTCCATTTGCTTATAATACACATCCTGATGCATTAACACTTGCTCGACGTGTTCTATTACTTATTGCTCTTTTGCAAATATGGGATGGATATAATGTGATTAATACAGGCATAGTTAAAGCTTGGTAAAAGTCTAAAATGAAGTGCTTTTTCTTGTTTTTCTAATATTTTATTTTTGATTGTAGTGGAAAACAAAAATGTGGCGCTATAATTGCATTTATTGGTTTTTATGCATTCGGTATTCCTCTTGCAGGTTTATTAATGTTTGTTGTTCGTATGGATATATATGGATTTTGGATTGGTATTATAGTTGCAGAAACAGTGACTAATACTTTTTTATTTCTTTTCATACAACGTTTCAATTGGGAACGTCATACTAAAGCAGCACTTATACGTATTGATTTTAATCCAAATGATGTTGCGGCTATTTCTATTGTTCATGAAAAATCTGAAGAAATAAATTTAGATTCAAAAAATGATACAGATAAAAATAGTACGATGAAATCAATCGGAATAAAAATTTTTATTTTATTATTATTAATTTTATTTTTAATAACTGGTATTATTACTTCAACATGGATACCATTATAATTTTCGATAAAAAGTTTTTCGTCAGAACAATTTTGTTTTTTGATTGCCATCATTTCTAATCTGTATCCGTTTTGTAAATTGTATTGATTAAAAATAGATATTATTTTATTCGTCTGTTTTAGATATGAATAGTAAAAAATAAAAAATTATTACGAACATAATTCGTATTTATTTGTATAAATATCAGATTGTATATGATATGATTCTGAATAGAAATTTATATATCGTTATTAATATGATTTTATTTTTAAGAGGATTTCTTTCTTTTCGTTTTTTTTCATAGATGATCAAAATATATACACAGTTGATTTGATCATATAGTCATATGAATAATTGTTAAACATGATAAACTTTATACAAGTGCTTGTCAATGATAATCGGATACTTACTTTATTTATATGATAATCTGAATAATCATAAAGATTTTATGGCATATTTTGAATAATAAATAACTAAGATGTTAAAGGATAGATTGTCTATCAATAATTAGATATTTATTTGCTATTCAAAATATTTTGATACCATTATGTTTTAATCAAATATTCTGATATGTATGTTTGCAGAATGTTATTCTTCAAAAGAAAAACAAAGATATTAATGAATATGAAAAATGAATTAGTTCGTACTCTGTGTATGTTTAAATATTTACACAGAAACATTTTGTATGATACTATTGAAGAAATACAGAACAACAAGAATATTAATCAATAGAATTGTCAAGGACATACTAAGAAATACATAACAAAGAAGATATATGATTAAAAAAAATGATAGGAACATATATATCATTCGATGTAAATCTAGTTCTCTGAAAAATCGAGTTATTTCTTGTATGTACATTCTAAGAAAAAGAATAACAACTATCTTTTAATCGAAGAGATTGATCTTTGGTTTTAACATGTAGAAAGATATTTCGATAAAAAATGAACTAGAAATTCCTTTTTCTTATGTTGGCCACAAACCATCAATCATATGTTGTATCTTTGTGTTTATTCAACATTGTCCATATTGAATTACTAGTGACGCCAAAATTTTTGGCCAGAAGAAAAACTGAGCCAGATGATCAGAATCTATCTGTGTGTGCCAACACGCATTGAAAGAAATCTTTCAAGTTCCGGGAAATTTTTGGAAAATTGTTTCATTTGAAAATTTGAATAAAACGTTTGTCTTGTAATAATAAGAGTACAAGCTTCGTACATAGCTTCTATAATTCATATATTGATAAGAAAGTATCAAAGCAGTTTCTTCTTTTATTAAACTATATATTTCATTACATTTTCGAATGAAAACTACTTCTATTAATTGATGATTGATTAAGATTAGGTTTTTTATATGACTTTTTTTGTGTGTTAAGTAAATCGATTTTTCCTTTATTTAGATAGCAGAGAGAGTTTTTCGTTTTAGCGACAGATTTTGCATCTCTGAACTGAGTCTCTCTCAGACTTTCTATGGAACTAGTGCTAGCAAAAACTTTTACAATTTCTTGACGAGAGAGCTCAGTCCCCCCTATAGCGTCGCCACTAGTTTGAGTAAGCAAAGCGGAAAGAAAAATCGATTCTAAGTAAACAAAATACACTATATTTAAAACTATCTGTGACTTATCTCATTATGATCAATATAATGATAATAAATAGCAATAAACAATTCTCTCAAGATTAAAAAAAAAATATTCAAAAGACTAACTTGCTTGTAATATTAAGATAAAGTATGTATTATTAAAGCTTCATATTTTTATCAAGGATTATCAGAGAATGGTCTCGTACGTTTGTATTAGTTATTACCATAAAGCGGATTGTAAACTGTGTTTAAATCAGTCTGATTGATGCACTGATCAATAAATGATTTGCAGCAATATTTGAATAATCGACAAAAATAAAACAATAAAAACTGAGTCGTAATCGTGAAAAGAATAAAAAACAGCGGCAATAACAGCTAAGAATTTATCGATATGTTTTTGCCGTATGTTTTATTTTCTTATTCAACATCTTCGAATTGTTTTTCTTCTTTGTTCTGGAATATCAATTATTTACTCTTTCCTTTTTTTAAATCTCTGTTAGTAATGTAATTCCATTCTTTCAGATCATATTATATTTATTCCAGTAGATTATTTGCCGTCTTTGATATATCTAATTCTTCATTTTTTCTCTCTCGTGTAATTTAGTAAGTACTAACTCTACTTATGAATAAATTATCTAATAATCTATATGTATTTTCATACTTTGTACTTAATAGTTAAAAGAATATGTATTGTCGATGATTTTAAATATAGATATTTTTCTCGTTATGATGATGTCTATGCAAACTAAAAACATAAATTGTCCAGTTATTCCATTAACTCGTTTTCTTTAGCTTTATTGATTTTTTTCGGTTATATTGTTCAATATACATAATGTATTAATTTTCAATTGGTATTGTTTGTATGATTAAGAAGACATATATTAATACTAAACTTGAATTGATAATCAAATAATAAAACTTTCATTAAAAAATACTATTCCATTTTTTTCGAGATATACGATTTTCATGAACTGAATATGAACAATAAATGATACAAGATGTCTTATTAGATTGGATATATAATTATTCTCTTGAACTAACGATCGTTATTAAGAGAAGTGCTTCAGAAACATCCAAAACAAAAAATGTTTTATTGAATATATTACATAATACGACAATTATTTATCTGTTTAATATGAATGATTTCAATATACAGGTACTCAAAAAAGTATCCGGACACCGCCATGTTTATCCGTATTTCTTGATTTGCGAAGCAGAAACAAGAGATAAAAATTTTCTTATTTCACCAGTGAATAATCCTTATTTCGAACTAGGTTCTCTATACAAATCAGCAATTTTGACTATTATGTCGAATTACGAGAACATTTCTGATGAAAATGTCTGCTTTTCCAATATGTTAGGTGTACACTTTTTTGACATCGGAATTATATTATTTGCACATTGCTGGAACGAGCAAAGCGAGTTCTATCTGTTGGTATAGTATTTTAGTGAAGAAAGAAAAATTTTATCTCTTGTTTCTGCTTCGCAAACCAAGAAAAACAAAAAAAAATTTGGGGGTGTCCGAATACTTTTTCGAGTACCTGTAGTTCTTATCTTCTATATATATATGATACACATAACACTGTTGCTTACTCTTGCATTTTATTAACAGATAAGTAATTGATTTCTATGCTTGACTAATATCTATTCGAACACCAAGGCTTTTATTAAGATAATCATCAAAAGAATAAAACAGTAGAAGAAAAAGATGAAAAAAAAATCAAATAATGTGTACTTGCCCTTTACTCATTTTGTTTTGTGATTCTTTTCTATTTATTGATCATTGTCACATACTTTTATTGTAGTTTTCTTTTAGGGTTATGGCTTCTGGAAATGTATTGACGTCACCACGATTCATTCCATCAACTCGTTTCACTTTAGGTCCACTTGTTTCATTTGCACTTTTTACTCAATACGCACAACGAGTTAGTTTAGCTATGGGTATTGTTTGTATGGTTAATAGAACAAATATAAATACAGCATCAAGCATAACATCATATTCTATTCAAACTCATAACAGAACAATAAAAATACCAACTAAATATGGATCTCAATATCTTGAAGATAAACAATTTGTTTTAAGTGAATCTCAACAACAAATTTTACTTGGTGCTCATTTTTTTGGATATCTTCTTACTCTAGCACCTGGTAGATAAATAAAGCATAATTTTAATTTAAAAAAGTGTTTCATCATATTCTTCTTCATATATATATACAGGTGGGTAGATATCGATCAAAATAGGTGCCAAACGAACATTTACTTTTGGTCTTCTATTGAGTTCGACAGCTACATTATCAATGGTTGCTATTTATTATCTTCATGATATGTATTTTACCTTTGCTGTTATTTTTCGAGTTATTGTAGGTCTTGGTCATGGTCCATTATTTCCAGCTACATATACTTTTTGGTCAATGTGGGCTGTTCCTTTAGAAAGAAGTACTTTGACATCAATTGGATTTTGTAGTACAAATTTGGGCACATGTAAATCAATATATTTATTTATTTATTTTTTGTATTTACTATTAATAATTTCTTGTTTTTCTTTTTCTTGAAAGCTATAACAATGTTAATTGGTGGTCTCTTTTGTCGTTATGTTAATTCAGGATGGGTTTATATATTTCTTTTAACAATTATATTTGGTTTTATATGGCTTCCATTATGGATATAGTTAGTAGCTGATTCGCCTCTATCTCATCGAACAATAAGTCAACGAGAACGAAATTATATATGTGAACGTATTGGTATTAGTATTGGTATAAATAATAAAGAAAAACGATCTACTTCATTTTCTTCTTTACCTTGGAAAAAAATTCTTCGTTCAAAACCTATTATTGCATTAGTTATCACACAATTTTATAATATATTTGGACTTTTCTTTTTCTATACAAATGTTGGTAAATTATTAACTGAAATTCATCGTATTCCTGTTCAACAAGCAGGATATGTTTTAGCTGGAGGATTTATATTTATGCCAATCGTTAGTCTTTCAACTGGTAAAATATACTAAATATTTCGATAAAAGAAAACAAATTAAAATTTTTTATTTATTTGATATGCAAAGGTGTTTTTGCTGATCGTCTCGTACGAACAAATATGATGTCATTAACTAATGTTCGTAAATTATTTAATTCTCTTACATCATTTATTCCAGCAACATGTATCATTATTCTTTGTTTTTGTGATCATACACGATAAATACTTGGTATTATAGTTGTGTTTATATTTCTTGTTGGTTCAGGTAAATTGCTAAAAAAAAATAGATAAATTTTATTCATTTAGACATAAAAAAACTTTTAAATGAACTTTTTTTTATAAATATTTATAGCTATAGCTTATGGTGCTGGGTATGTTATTAACTTTGCTGATATAGCTCCAGCTTATTCATCAATTATCTTTGCTATATCAACTGCACTTGGAACAATTGGTGCTCTTATGAGTAACATTGTAGCTGGTCTTATTATAAAACAACCAATTCTTGAAGATTGGCGAAAACTTCTCTTACTTTTTGCAATAATCTATATTATTGGTGGTATTGTTTATCTTTTATATGGATCAGCAGTACCTCGAAAATAGGCTAGATTTCATTCGAACGAATCAAAACAAAATGAAGAAGATGAATATTTAACATCGTTACCATTGAAAACAGATGTATCACATACCATAAAGAATACAGAAATGAATTAATCTATACATTTTTCTTAATAGATTGTTATCGAAAGAAAAAAGATCAATTTACCTTAATTTTGATTTTATATTTACTTAGTATTTTTGAATCTGTAAAATGTCTTGATAGATATTGAATTATTATTTTCTAGGAAAATTTTATGATTTGTGCATGTTCAGTTAAATTTATTATATTTATATGTAGAAAATATTAGGAGAAGACATCATATATACATAATTACGAAATCAGGAGTGATCGGATTCTTTGAGTTCTGAATTCTCAAAACTCTCAAAAGTGAAACTTCACTCACAAACTTCTCCGAAGGATGTGAATTTGGATTTCGGATCTCTCTACATCCATACCCATATGTGAATATCTACGGAAATGATTGTACCGTATATTTATCATCTCCGTTAGCATTTTCCTTAGTCTAAATTTCTAGATGTAAAACATTACTGGAGTTATTTAAAATTTGTCAGTAAGCAATATGTGATGATATCAATTTCGTTTGAAACATTAGAGTGAATCCATTATCTGAATTTCACTCAATTCTTGAATTCTTAGAGTTGCTTCAATTATTGAAGTTGCTTGAGTTTCAAGATTTCTTTCAGTTTTGTGAGTGAAATTACACATTTGAGAGTTCCAGAAGTTCAGAACTCACGAAATCCGAACTTGTTTTATACTGAATGATAAATATATATATATATATAAAACAACGGTTTATTATTTTTGATTTTGATAGTATCATTTGTTCACTTGTTCATTTTAGTTTAATATCTGTCAACTAACATCTTCCTTTATTCATTTGTTCTTCTTTTTCTTTGCTTGCAATTCTATAGAATAAATTATTATTCTTAATGAGATATGTATAATTCAATTTGTATAGTAGTTTAATAAACATTTTGTCTAATGATATTAAATATTTTTGTTTAGAAATTGTAATCATGTGTTATAAATGCTTAAGTTCAGTATTCAATTCAACTTGCACATAAATTTCAATGGTAAACATCCCGAGTAGATCATATGATCGATGGAATATTATTTCTTCGATGTCATTTCACATTTATAGATGATTTTCTTTTTTAGCCAAGAGGTTTAATATAGGTTTCTTTTTCCTACCAGAAAAACTCGTGTAAATATCAAGCATAAAATCGTAACTTTTGTTTGATCTAAATTAATGTAAGAAAATAAAATAAATCATTTTATCACACTATCTTACGTATATCATCCAGCTAATACTTCATCTATTTATGATATATTATGATCCATAGACTTGAAGTAAAAGAATATGATGATTGCACATGTAAATGAATAGGAAAAAAGCTTCAAGTGATCTATGTTTTCTATAAATTCGCAAGTTATTCAATTTTCTTGTACTGTTTAGTATCTATGATCTGAAAAATGAAACAGAATAAAAAATTTAAAAAACCTTGCCTTCATTCGAAGTGGTAATGAGTTCTCTTTCAAATGAAAGCAACATAAGTTCTGTAGTTTGGTTTCTGGAAATCTCCTGAACAGTAACGTATAGAGGTGTGCATTTTTTTTTATTAATCTACTTTCTTGAACTGAACGCCTATGTAAAGTTTCATCAATATCTCATGCTTTTAGCTATGGCTTATGGTTCTGATCATATTATCAATTTTGTTGATGCATTTACTAGCTTATTGATCTATTGTTTTTCGTATAACAACTACAAATGCAAAATTTGTTGCTTTTATTTGTAATGTGATAGCAAATTTTATTATATAACAACCAATCCTTGAAGATCAACGAAAACTTTTTATACTCTTTTGTATGCACCGATGGTTTAGCTTATATTTTACTTGATTCAAGCGTACCAAGAATATGGGCTACATTTACAGCTGAACAAAAAAAAACAACTAAATGAGAATAAAATAATAGAAAAAGAAGCTCTCTCTATTTTTTTAAACTGTGATAGAAATTTAAATTTTTTTTTCTTTCTTTTGAAATTTCAAACTAAATTGACTCTAGATGCCGCAAGTTTACAAACACTATAAAATATTCTATGCGCGAGGCGTTCATAATAAATTAATGGTTAATAATGTTAACATTGTTCCTGATATCCAATATTTACATCTTCGTCGTGACGTTACTAATAATGCCACACAATTCTTCTTTCTTTTTTATTTCTTCTGATCTATAGATTTAATTTTATTCCAACATTAAAAAAAGTTTTTTTCTGTGAAAAAATGGCTTCAGGAGATATTCAATCAGATGAAAGTCTTTATCCAATAGCTGTTTTAATTGATGAACTTCGTAATGAAGATGTTCAAGTAATAATATTTATTCTTTCATGATAAGATTTGTATCTGTGTGTGTGTGTGTTTTTAGTTACGTTTAAATAGCATAAAGAAGTTATCCACAATTGCATTGGCGCTTGGTGTTGAAAGAACACGATCTGAACTTATTCCATTTTTGACTGGTTCGTTCTTTTTGTTTTTATTTTTCAATAATAATAAATAAACGAATATATTCTTTTTCTTTTGCAGATACAATTTATGATGAAGATGAAGTTCTATTAGCATTAGCTGAACAATTAGGAACATTTACACAACTTGTTGGTGGTGAAAGTTATGTTCACGTTTTATTGGTATATAAGATTTGAAAAGAAAAACAAAAAGTTTTATTCTTTTTTTTTGAAATTTTCTTTAGCCACCATTAGAAAGTTTAGCTCAAGTTGAAGAAACAATTGTACGTGATAAAGCTGTTGAATCACTTCGTATATTAGCACCACAACATTCAACAACAGATTTAGAAACATATTTTGTACCAACTGTTAAACGTTTAGCACAAGGTGATTGGTTTACATCACGTACATCAGCATCAGGTCTTATATCTGTGTGTTATTCACGTGTTTCAAATCATGTTAAAGGCGAATTACGACAGTAAAGATTTTATTCAATTGAAATTGGTTTTTTTTTGTTTTTTTTCCTTTAAAGATTATTTAAAAGTCTTTGTCAAGATGATACACCAATGGTACGTCGTGCAGCTGCATCAAAATTAGGTGAATTTGCTAAAGTTGTTGAACCTGAGTATTTACGTCAAGAACTTGTTTCATTATTTACAAATTTGGCAAATGATGAACAAGATAGTGTACGTTTATTAGCTATTGAAGCTGGTATATCTATGGCAAATTTATTTCGACATGAAGATCTTGAACAACAAATGATGCAAACATTACGTACTGCTACAGAAGATAAATCATGGCGTGTACGATATGTTGTTGCTGATAAACTTGTTGAAGTAAAAATAAAAAAAAAAACTTTATTACTATTATTAATAATATTCTTCATGGAATAAACTAAAAGGAATTAATCTTTAATATTTAGTTACAAAAAGCAGTTGGTCCTGAAATAACAAAAAATGATTTAGTTACATCTTATTGTGCATTATTAAAAGATCCTGAAGCTGAAGTACGTGCAGCAGCAGCATCAAAATTAAAAGATTTTTCTACTCATTTACCAGCTGATACACGTGAACAAATGATTATGTCACAAATTTTACCATGTGTTAAAGATATGGTTGGTGATATGAATCAACATGTTAAATCAGCATTAGCTTCAGTTATAATGGGTCTTTCACCATTACTTGGCAAGGATAAGTATGTGTTTTTTTCTTCTTCGTATTATATTAATTAGAAAACAAAGATAATAATATTCGTTTTTCTTTTAGTACACTTGAACATCTTTTACCATTATTTCTTAGTCAACTTAAAGATGATTATCCTGAAGTTAGGCTTAATATTATTTCAAATCTTGATTGTATAAATGAGGTATGTTGATTTTTGTTTTGTGAAATAATTTATAAGATGTAACTAATTCGAAATTTGAGAAGAATTTTAAAAAAAACAACTTTTATTTGTCTATAATTGGTTAGAACGAGTAAAACTACATAGGAAAATGTGGTTTTTTTTTAATTTTAAAGTCTATTTTTACGAGAAAAAACTTGTTTAGAAAATGGCTCAGTTTTCGAGAAGATAGCCAATAATTTTTTCTGATTCGGTCTGCAAAACTAATTATAAAAACTCAACTTAAGTTGAGTTTTTATAGTTAGTTTTGCACACTAAATCAGAAAAAGCTGTTGACCATTTTTTCGAAAACTGAGCCGTTTTTTAAAAATCTTCTCAAATTTCGAATTAGTTGGATCTTACAAAAAAATAAATCTTTAATCGAATTAATTAGGTTATTGGAGTTCGTCAATTATCACAAAGTCTTCTACCAGCTATAGTTGAATTAGCAAGTGATGCTAAATGGCGTGTACGTCTTGGTATTATTGAATATATGCCATTATTAGCTGGTCAACTTGTATGTTATTTTTTAATTTAGATTTTATTTTTTTTTCATTGTATTAAGATATGTTTCTTTTTTTAGGGTCCAGAATTTTTTGATGAAAAATTAAGTAGTCTTTGTATGAGTTGGCTTACAGATCATGTCTTTGCCATACGTGAAGCAGCTACAAATAATTTAAAAAAGTTAGTTGAAAAATTTGGTCGTGATTGGGCACAAAGTACGGTTATACCAAAAGTTATACAATTAGCACGTGATCAAAATTATTTATATCGAATGACATGTTTATTTGCTGTTAATGTATGAACATTACAAAAACAAAAAAAAAGATCTTTTTGTTTTATTTTTACTTTTAATTTAATTTAGGCCTTGGCTGAATCGTGTGGTCAAGACATAACACAACGAATGATGTTACCAACTGTAGTAACACTTGCCAGTGATCCTGTTGCTAATGTTCGATTTAATGTTGCTAAAACATTACAACGCATTTATCCAGCACTTGATCAAAAGTAATTATCGAGCAAAATAATAATTTTAGTTTGATTCTTCATTCTCTGTCATGTATTGAGTAGATTTGTGTCACGTCAACTATCGGAATAGCTTATGTACGTGCTAATTATGGCACCGCTATAGTTAAATTTGAGTGATATTATTTCATTGTGGAAATGAAGAATAAATAAAAAATGAACCATTTGTTTTGAATAACATAAAAATTGAATTTATTATTAATGTGATTTTTTTCGCAGTTCTATTGTGAGTTTATGATTTCCGTGAATTATTTTTTTTTTTTTGAAAAATGATTCAGTTCGATAGATGATATTTAGTGAGACCTCTATAGAAGTGACTATTTTCGGATTGAGATCAGACCTTGCATTGATTCTGATTCTGATTCTGATTCAAAATCATCCATTCCTATTGTTAAGGCCATCTCCAGAAAGAAGATTATAACGGAGAGCTATAGGTTTCTAAATTATCATGAAAAATGCTATTTTCACATCTGTAATCAAGAATTTTCTAAAAACCACTCTGCAAATAAATTACACCTGTAGTGCTATATATCAACATCAGAATAATTAGTCTGTATAAGTAGATAAAAAAAAAACAAAAAACATACTTTGTAAAACACGATCTCATAGGAGTGTTGACGTATATATAGGGTAGAAATTTACATCTCCACAAATGATGACAGACATTGTCATGGAAAACGTCAGAGATTGTAACAAACGTTTTTGATATACAATCAAAGGCCGTATATCAATAACATCTCGTTATAATATATGAAATCCTTCCTAATTGCATTTTTGAAGGATTAAGTAAAAAAATAGTGAAAAAATATGTCCTAAAAAAGATAGAATAAAACAATTTTCTGGCGCTCAACAACAGCAGCTACATCCATTCTAACAACTTTTTTTTTAAATACTATTTGCAGCCTCTAAATAATATTCAGAAACCATGTCGATTCAATGACTTTGTTATTCCTAATAGATAATTTCTATGAATGAATCGAAAAAGATCTAACAAAGACTAAACAGTTAATATTTTTCTTTGTATTTTTTTAGTGCATTAGCTTTACATGTTAAACCATGTTTGGAAAAATTATGTCAAGATTCTGATCATGATGTTCAACATTTTGCAAGTGAAGCTCTTGAAAGTATGTTAATATGATTATTTTTTCTTTTTCTTCTCTAAATAATTTTTGTCCTCTGTATTTTTCTAAGAGATACCATCTATTCGTAACAGTTATCGTTAATAGAAAAAAAATAAATATTCAAAGGTTCCCTAAATGATAATTTTTATTTAAAAAAACTATATTTCTGCTTAAACGTTTTTGTTCACCTTGATATTAATAACGAATATAACCTTGCTTATTCATATTCATTTTTGTCTAGAAGTTATTGAAGCTTTATGAAATAAAAATTTCGTTATATCTTGGTTTGTTAGTTTTTGTTTTTATTTTTTTTTGTGTGTGTGGGTAAAATTTTGTCTAGTTGTTTTTTAATTTGAGTGTGTATCTCTAATTTAATTTTGTTTCTTGAATTATTATAGAAACACTAGAAGCACCTTTTTCTTCTATTAATTACGAAAATGAACATAAACAAGATGTGACACGGGTGCTGGTTTGTTTTTGTTTTCTTTGCTCATATGCCGGTGTTGAAATAATTAACTTGATTTTAACATTTATTATTTTATAATAATATAATTTATTAAAATTTCTTTTTTTTTGTTTAGCTTTGACCAAGGTTTAATTGATCAACCATTGGGACACATTCTTGTTCTTATTTTGTCTTCTTTTTTTTTTGTAACTCACATTTTTTTTCTTTTCTTTTTGTCCACAATGTTGTCACATTCACATATTCTTTTTTTTGGCGTTATTCATCCTTTCTATGGGTTTTCTGTAAGAAGACGTTCATTTTGACTTTAATTTTTTTTTCGCTCAGTTTTTTTCTTTTCATAACACAACAAGAAACTTAATAAAATACTGTACTGTTTTTTCTTTTGGTCTGATTAAACCAACGCGTAAATTATAAAATGAATGCAAAGAAAAGAAAATTTATAATTGTGATTCTTATTAGAATGCTACTTTTTCTCAAGAACGATAAATGCTTACAAAAAATAAACGTGTGCTGTTATGCTTTCTATTTCTTCAGATGTCATTAAATTCCGTTGCATTAGATGAATTATCTGAATTTCTTGATCCACAAGGGCGTCTTGATATAAAATCACTTGCACTTCAGACATTACTATCATTAACTGCATCTAAAGAAGGTCGTCATTTATTATTATCATCATTGCCTAACACTGATCCAAATAAATCATTATTATCACGTATTTGCCGTCTAGTATTTGAAGATGTTCAAGAATCAATTCGTTTTGATGCACTTCTTTTTTTAGTTAATTTAACAGGTGATAATGAATTATCAATACTTAATAATAAACAAATGTCAATTACAAATGATTTTTGGTTACAATTATTAAAAGTACGAATTTTAAAAAAAAATCATAAACCTACGGTGAAGACAAAAACATTTGAAAACGAAGTATTTTTGACTTGGTTTCTTAACAGTAACAGCTAGAACCAATCAGAAAAAAGATTTGAATATCTGAAACAATTTACTATCACGAGAGATACTTGTCAAGTTTCAATTAACAAGTTTGAATGAAAGCTTTCGAGAAAACCAAAATTTCCCAAAAGATATATGTCAGAATTTCATGAATTCTGAATTCATAGAGCTCTCAAAAGTATAACTTCAACAACTGAAGAAAAGCTAAGAACCCGAGAATTCGTTGAAATTTACGAAATTGACATCATCATGCATTGCTTGTCCACAAATTAAAAAAAACACTCTAGTAGTGTCTTACTTCCAGAAATGCTACGAGATATAACGAATATGTGGTATACAGTCTTTTCCGTGGATATTCAAATATGGGTATGACTATGAATGTAGAGAGAACTGAAACCTATATTCTTCCGAGAATTTCTCGAGACAGTCTTTCAAAAATCAGTTTTCCGAATTCTGTCAAAAATATTTTGCTAACAGAGAAAACATTTTTGAAAACAAAAAAAAAAAAGATGTCTTCAGTGAATGACAATCATTGTGAGATAGACCAAAAAAGAAAAGCTGTTTTCTATTGTTTTCATGAAAATTTGTGTGAATTTACCGTGCTTTACATTTTGTAGAATGAGTACAGTTCGCCGAAGATAGGTCACCGAGAGCTTGGAAGCATCTTATTTTGTTCAGAAATGTTTTCTCTGTTAGCAAAACGTTTTCGATAGAAACTATAAAATTGATTTTCTAGAGTCTTGATTTTCAGAGATCTTTCACTCAAATCTATTAATGAAAATTTAACAAGTACTCCTCCTGATAGGAAAAGTATTCAAGCTACATAAATATGTTCTCTGATTGATTCTCGTTATTACCATTAAGAAAGAAAAGTTCAAAATATTTCGTTTCTAAACTTTTTTTTTTACCTTCACTTTATAATAAAAAATGAAACATAATTTTATATTTAGCATTGTATTGATGATCGTCAATATGAACATGCTGATGCTGGATGTAAACTTTTATCAAATATAACATCTCGTACAATAACAATTGATCAATTAAATGAATTAATAAATCATTTTGATAAAAATTATCCATTATGGTTTGATAATGTTATTCAAGCATTTTCTACAATTGATTATAATTTTAAAAAAAATAATCTAGATTATTTATCAGCATTTCTTGTTAATTTAACACAATCAAAAATAATTCGACAACGTTTAAGAGATAATGAACATTTAAAACGTTTATTATGTTTTACAGATCAAAATCATTCAATTATACGACGTGGAAGTATTGCATGTATACTTAAAAATTGTTGTTTTGATCATGGTCTGTTTTAATAAAATTTTCATATGATTAATTATTAATTTTTTTTTTAAATTAGAAAGTCATGAACAATTAATTTATCATATGAGTAATAATGATGATTTTATATGTTCATTACTTTTACCACTTACTGGTTCAACAGCTGATGAATTAACGGAAGAAGAAAATGAACAATTACCAATTGATTTACAATATTTACCAAGTAATAAACAACGTGAAACAGATCGAGATATTCAACAAATTCTTCTTGAAGCAATTCTTCTTGTATGTTTAAATAAATTTTTTTTGTTAAAATATTTATATTTTTTTCAAATATAGTTATGTGCAACAAAATCTATTCGTAAATATTTTCGTTCAAAACAAATTTATCTTATTTTACGACAATATCATCAACAACCAAATTTAGATTTTGCATGTGATCGTACATGTGAACGAATTATTCAAATATTAATTGGTGATGAAGATTATAATGTTGAAACAGATAATCTACTGGAATTAAATATTCCTGAAGATTTAAGAGAAAAATTTCATGATAGTGATCGAAAAGAAGAAGAAAATCATCTCAATCAATGAATAAAAAAAAAAAAAAAAAATTCAAATATTTTAATTTGATTAAAAGAAAAGATAAATATAAATTCATTGAAGTAATAAAAGTTTCAACTATTTATTTAAAAAACGAAAGCAATCTTATGTCAATACAGAAGCAAAAAGATTATTTTCAGTCGTAAAAATTTGAGATTAATACCCAATATTTTTCTAATTATAAATTATTTCTCAAGAACTCGAGATAATCGTTACGGTTATTCGTAGTTTTCATCGTATACAACACTGTATACATGTCATATTCTCATTAAATACGGTTGTATAATATTAGGCAACCTGAAGTTCGTCAATAGAACATCATCGGATTTGCAAAGATAGGTATTCTAGAAAACCAAAACTCTCGTTTTTTCAACAGCTAAAACATGTAAATGTAATTTTGTTTAGACCACATCTGAGATTGTAATGCAGCAGCGCAAATTGTCACAGATATTAATCAAATAATTATTATTTGAAACGACATAGACAAACATAACCTATCAATATAGTCGATAGAAATTTTTGTAAGCCATGTCTAATTCACAGTCAAATTCGGGAAAATTTTATTGGTGAAATATCGGAATTCCATAATATTAGCCTGATTTACAATAAAATACAGTGTGTAAACAGACTGTATTAAACTGTTTACATACCCTATTGTTCGAGTAGCGAATGTGTAATGTGTATTTATTTTACTTCGATATATACAGAAATAAGATTTTATGTCTTGACTTCTAATTGACCAGAATGTTATTAAATGTTTATAATGAATCATGCATACTTATATCTTCAACTTTCTCGCTCTCATAAACGATCATGAGACGCGCGAATTAATACAATTGTGTCGATCTCAGTTGCAAAATTAAATGTCACAAACGACTGTATCACAAGTAATATCGCCAATGAAAGGTGATATTGTTTTTACACGTAAAGGTCATCGTCGTCGATGGGATGGACGTCATTGGCGTATACTTTGTCGAATATCGAATTGTACAGCTCAACGACAAGGTTCATTATATAATAAATTTGGTCTATGTAAAAAACATTTTACTCAAATGAAATTTAATAAATTTCAATCTAATAAATCTTCATCATTTTTGTCATCGAATATCAAACAAAAAGAACAAAAACAAATAGTCTCTATAGGAAAACAAGAAGAAAATAAGAAAAAATATAAACGTCATAATTTAAATGTTATTGTTGATAAACTTCGACGTTCAAAAACAATATCGAAAATATGTTCGATTAAATAATTAGATTTTATATATTTTAATAAATAGAAATAAAATGATAATATTAGATTCTCCTTTAAAATTAATTTTCTAATTTACTATCTTATTATCTATTAGCAAGAATCGATAAGAATATACATCTTTTTCTTTTGATGAATATTCTATTATATGTGAAAATAATTCTTTTTTTTTTTTTTTTATTAAAAAGTTAACATGAAGTAAAAAGGTCAATACGTTCTCAACTTTCATAAGAGTACAAAAATATAAAAAACAATTGATCATGAAAGCAAATAATTTGTTTTTGATAATAATATAATTGTTCTACGGTTGAAAAATAATTTTATAAAAAAAATTTCTCTCAAATAAATAAAGACAAAAAAAACAATCGTTTTTTTTTCTATTGTCAATACAAAATTTGTAAATATTTAATTAATAAATTCAACTAATAGTAATCGTTTCTAGTCAACGTCATGCATCAAAATTTCACCATTTACGAAATGACTCATATAAATAACGAAATACTAAGAAACACCAATGAATAATTATAACATTTGAATGAATCAGCCTCTTTCAACAAAGATTCTATCGCTATTCTCTTACCCCTTGTTTGGTTCTTTCACAATCACATTGAAATGAATGTGTAAAAGCCTTTATATACTATAAAAGGCGATAGCTTTTTTCACATAACTACACATTTTATATTCTATCATTTCATTTGATTTTATAATTATTATGCCTGAAAAAATTGAAATGACAACTAATGAACAAAACAAAAAATCAACATATGTAGGTGCACTACCAGATATGCCAATGGAAGCTCTTCTTTCACTTGGTCCACCAAATAATTGTGGTACTGTACCAACAATTCGACTTTTTCTTGCTAAGTATCATGCATTTCCATGTACATTACTTTGTGCTGCTGATGATACAAGTGCATTATTACATACAACAACAATTGTTGATTATATTCGTGATGAATTAAAACATGATTTACATACGGATCGTATATCTCGAAATTATAATCGACAAGCTAAACAAATCTATATTGATTCACGTTTATCAGATTTAGGCAATGGTATTATGATTGAAATAGCTGATTCTTACTTTTGTCATGATGATGTACAAAATCCAAATAAATTAAAACCAGATCATTCAGATGATTATTTTTTAGTTGCATCACAAGTAACCATTTATTATTTACCTGAACATGATACATTTGTACAAGATTTAGCAATGCGTTTTTCTAAAATGACTATATTTTCATCAAAATCATGTACTTTAAATATGGTATGTCGTAATCAACATGGTTATTATCTGACTAGTATTAATATTAAAAAACCATTAATTACTGATCTTGCTCTTCATTATGGTAAAAATTTTGTTCCTGTACATGAAAAAATTATTAAAAATTTAAATAAAAAAGAAGGAAAAGGTATTGTTCTTCTACATGGTATTCCAGGTTCAGGTAAATAAAAGCTTTGAAATGACAAAAAAAAAAACCAAAAGATTAATTTTTCTTTTTTGTCTTTTTATATTAAATAGGAAAAACACATTATATTCGATATTTAATTCATGAAATTGAAGAAAAAACTTTAGTTTATGTACCACCAGATATGGCAAAAGAAATTTCTTCACCAGAATTTCTTCCATTTCTTATGCAATATCAAAATTCAGTTCTTATTATTGAAGATGCTGAAAATATAATTAAAGATCGAAATGAATGTTTAATACCATCACAAGCCGTTGCTAATCTTCTTAATTTGTAAGTTATTATTATTTAAAAAAAAAAATTTTATCATCTCTTTCAATTTTGTTTTTTTTTGCAGATCTGATGGTTTATTAGGTGATGCTATGCATCAACAAATAATTGCAACATTTAATTGTGATTTAACAAAAATTGATCCAGCTTTATTACGTAAAGGACGTTTAATTGCAAATTATGAATTTAATGAATTAGATACAGAAAGTTCAAAAATTCTTTCAGATAAATTAGGATTTGGTACTGAAAATATAACTGTACCAATGACACTTGCTGAAATTTATAATCAAGGTGAAAGTTCTGAAGAATCAACTGTGAATGGACATGAATCAATAACGAATGAAGAAAAATGAATAAACAATTCATTGTTAAAATTTTTTTTGTTGTTTTAATATAAATAATAAAGTTTTTTTTGTTGTCTTAATACGAATAATAGAAATGTTTTTATTAGCCAGAAATCAATTTTTTTCTTCTCTCTGCCTTAGTTAATATACATTCCATGCAATCGTATTTTCTTTCTCTTAATGGCATACTACCAGTTTGTCAATGTAGATATTAACAGCCAAAATAGTAAAAAAAAATATCGCAGTAATGTAGATTAAAGAAGAACAGGAAAAAAAATGACAAGGATAATAAGGCATGCCTATGTTTTTCGCTCTTGTGACATGTAGTAGGTAATGTTAGCATGTGAAAAGCACAAAATAAAGCATTTGGTAGTGGATGCATACGGCATCGTGTGTGTTGTTAGTAATAGAAAAGAGAGAATAACAACTACAAAAAAACAACAACAAAAACGATAGCAAGAAAAAAAGAAATCTATGGATTCTTGCTGCTCGGAATTGTAGTGTAAGAGAGTGGAAGAAAGCTGATCTAGAAGAACCATTTACAAATCATCATCGTGCAGAACATTTACGATATATATACATATATATCAAGGTCGAAACTCGTTCACTTGTATTATACAACAACAAGCAAAAATAAAAGAACATAAGTCAATTTGAACAAAAGGTATATACTTGAAAATAACTATTGAATAATGTTAAAGAAAAAAAAACAAATGCGTGTCAATCAAATAGACATATGTACGTAAAACATGTGTTAGAACGGTAAGAAGTCAGTCAAAAGTCTCAGTTCTTTTTCTTCTATGATACAATTAAAAACTAAAGTCAAAATATATTTGATTTCTATTCTTTCTTCTTTTGTTTTATTGTATCATAGTAAAGGATTAGGTAGATTCTTTTGGTAACAATAACAATGATAAATGCTTATCTTCCCAAAATACTGAGATATTGTCTTGGTTAGTTTTTTTTCATTTAAAAAAAAAAAGATAACCATATTATCAAACTGATCATGAACAAAAACGATTAATGACTTACCTACTTCTAAGGTATAATGTTCTTTTTTGTTGCATGGTCAGATCATCGTTTCTTTTGACGCATTGAATATCTAAACCTTGTATCAATTTGTACATATGCTTGTAAAATCATTTTATCAATGAACTTGATTGGACAGTACTATGCGCATTTAATGCGACCATGAATTGTGTTTTTTTTCTTTTCTTTTTTTTTTTTTATTGAGTTACTCCCTATTTCATTCATTCAAGGTTAAGGTTACATACAATCTTCATTTTTTTCTCTTATGTTATCTATATCTATCCATCGATCCATCTCTATATATATATATATATATATATATAAAGACAAATCGTTGTCGTTAACATTTTCATAATTTAGTACCAATTGGAATATAAAATAAGCAATAAGAATGCCGTCATATACGATGCTCAATGTTAAAATGCAACGAGAATCCAATAGTACACCATGGGGATTTCGAATGCAAGGTAGAAATATCTTTTATTTTTTTATGATTTTATAAAAATTATATTAAATATTTCATTATAACTAGGTGGAAAAGATTTTGCTTGTCCATTACAAATTCAAAAAGTTAATCCAAGTAGTTTAGCTGAACGTTGTGGTATGCAAGCTAATGATTATATTATTAAAATTGGACAAACATCAACTGAACATCTTAAACATCCTGATGCACAAGAATTAATAAAACAACAAAATAATATACTTGAATTAACATTACAACGGTTAGTTGAGACGAAAAAAGAAAGACAAAGAAACTATGTTCACTTTTAATTTAATATATAGAGGTGCACCACCTGATACTAATGATTATAACAGTCGTGTGGATTTTCCACCTCATCAGTTAATGCAATCTACACAAAATAATTTTTCACCACAATCTCAATATGGACCACCATCACCACAATCACCTGTTCCACAGGTATTTATAAGAATCATAAGTATAATTTCCTGGTCTGTTTTACAATATTTTTAAGTGAACGATCAATAAATCGATTTTGATTCTATTTACTGTTCGTTACCGATAAATAATAACAAGTTTATCTGATATCCAATAGAATCGAACAAAAGATCAAGTTTCATATTTGTTAGATACTTTAAGTTATAGATCATATCAAACAATATCCCAAGAGACCTTGAATGGACAGTATAACTAAAAGAGAAATCTATCCTATAATTGATAGAACAGAAAAGAAACCGTTGATAGAAGGATTATATTTGTTCTATTATTGCAGACAATATTCCTCTTACAGATAATAAAAACATAATATGTTATATATAATACTATATTTATATTACCTAATCTTTTTATCCGTATCAAAAACTGACAAAGAGATTTTATTTATTGACTGATCTATGTCTATTATTGATTGTAGAGGACGAATCACTTATAATGTTATGTTATAACACAACTATAAAATCATATCACACAAAAAAAAGTAAGACAATAAAATGAATTATCAACCAATATATAAAATAACTAAATCTATTAAAATAGATGTTATGAAGTTTTATGTAAAATCAACACATATTTTCATAAAAGCTAATATGAATTCTCATCAAGGTTTTATTCAGATTTTCTTTTCCGAGAGGGAGAACACCTATTTTTGAGAGTACAGACACATCGTACGTGGTGCACAATAACCACAAACTCCGAGAAGGTCGGCCCGATTTTCGAAGGAGCACCACCCTCTGGGCTAGAACCTATCGAGTCCAAAATTTTCAGACCGGGCCTTGATCGAGCTCGGAACCAACTTGACAAGTTCTATTCTCAACCTTCACACTAGATAAAACATTGTTTTTTCATCAGGTCATTTTTCAATAATAGGTTGCTATGCCAGTATCAAACAATCGTGCTATATTAAGTCAAGGACATAATACACCAATTGGTCTTTATTCAGCTGACAATGTAACTGAAACAATAGCACGTACTCTTAAAAGGTAATGTCTAGAATATTGAAATTGATGCATGAAAATTCAGCATGTATATTAGTATGCATGTGGATGTAGTTCCCCTTCTCCTTCACGTCGTATTAATAATAATAATAATAATAATAATAATAATAATAATAATAATCGTGATGATCAAAAAACACCTGTCATACTCACAAATAGTGACATCGAAGATCTTCAACAAAAATATTTAACTATGGATTTACAAACGAATAATAAAGGTGGAGTACGACAAGGACCTGCATTTCGGGCCCTTGTTCGAGGACTTGATGAAGCAAATGGAGGTATTGTTTTGTTTTTGATTATCTTTATTTCTTATATATTAATCATTCTATAAGATACCACTGATCATTCATCATCTAAATCAAAGTAAAAATTTGAAAAAAAAA